CTAATTATTTTTCACCTCTCCCCAGAACACAATCTTCTCTTTAAACATCAAAAAGACAAGGTCAATATAAATTTTGTTAAAGGGCCCATGACATCGAATTACAAGTGAACTCCTGTTGGTTTGCAGTCCTGCATACATCTCATATTTTGATATGTAAACTTCTGAATTTGTTTCATAGATTTTTAAATATTTTTTTAAATATTTGTTTTTCAAACTTGCTAAGCTCCACCCCAAAAACCTCCAGATCTCATTCCCCTTGTGACATCATCTGTCAGTCATCGATGTGCTAACTTGAGAAAGTGGCATTTAACTTTGCCAAAGTTGACCACCTGTTACAATACCAAAAACAATAGCAACATATAAGTTGATATGTCAGACATGTCAGACTAAACTAATATTCTAGAATAGACAATGGTATGTAATTTCCCCAGCTTAGCACACGTTCATAATAGAATTGCATGTTTCTATACATATGTACAATACATCATGATTGCCTTTGTCTTCCTGGTGATGCTATAGTATGTATTATAGAATAGATAAATAATGTATATATATAGTGCGCATACAACAAATGTACACAACTTTGGTAGCTAGCTCCCTATTAAAGGGTCATAACCAAATGACTTCGAAATCTATTTCATGATGAAGAGTAACTTGTTTTCTGTCCAATGATATCCAGTTCATTATATTTCTACCACGGCTGCCTCAGCACAATGGTCTTTAAAAGTGTTGTTAGAATCGCCTTGTACCAAGTTTGGGCTGATGGAATGAATGTGTGTAATAAGCCAGTTCACAGATACAATCTGCGCATGGGCAGATGAAGGTCATTTGTACCAAAATGGTAAAAACCCACAGAGATGAATACTGGATATGCGCTCATGAAAGTTATGTAACATTATTCATTTATGCACCAACGGTACATCCTATGATACGCAGGTGGAAATATTCTTTCAAGAGGTCAAACAAAAGGTATTCATGACGCACATCTAGGACTTTGGCAGTTATTATTCTAAGATGCTCAAAGTGGAACTTCTCCATGTGTAAAAGATCTGTGGATATTTGGGGTCATTTGTACCATGTGCTATCTGTAAACTCCCTTATTATAGACACTTAGAATCTCATGTACCGATATGGGTTGAGAAAATTTAAAAAAAGGGGGGCAATTGGGGACCAACGGTCACCGATTAGGCATTGTTTGCTTTATAGAGGGCGCACGGAGCTATATGTAGTGCAGTGGGGCTTAAGGTTGCTTTTTCGAGACGTTTTTGCAATCATGTCCGTGTTTATATCATGGATACTTACTGTGTGATCTTCAAACAACACTCTGATACTGCACTGTACTAGGTTTTTGGGGTGTTTTTTGTTGTTGTAATATGAGGCTTTCATTTTCTATTTGAAAACATGCAGAAACCTGCCACCAGGCTAAACAATTACTTAAATTACGAAATAAATAATAACAATATGAGGATGACGAACTAATATCCCGGTGACACATCTGTTTGCATATTGATAAGAAAGATTAACTTCACTGCATTTACCTTGACACAAAACAAGTAAAGCGTAACCACCTTTTGTTGAATAAAAACAAGTATCGCTTTATATTTGCCACCACTAAAAAACAGGAGGTCGATTATTATTATCATTATTTGTATCAATTGTTTTGAGACCTCGACCGCCTTTTAGACTAAAACAAACAAGGCTAATACTGTAGAGTCAGAAAAATAATTTAGAGGTTATTTATCATCATCACTGTTATTTTATACAAACTATTACAATTCTTCGATCACATTTGGAAATGATGTCGATTTAAACTTTGTCAATCTAGAGTAAATTTTATTCTCGTAATCAGTTCATGAAAAGAGGGCATATATGTATGTATCTATGTAACTGAGGGTGACAGAGCCTCCTACTTCTCTGGACCTCTGGACTTCTCAAATAACCTTCCATGATATATCAGGGGCGCCGAGTCTATATTAACGTTCATGTCAGCCCTCAAGACTGTCTTGTTCCAGGCTTCGACGTCATCTCAAGAATAATACTAATGCCAACAAAAAACTAATCGAAAATAATCTGAATTTGAATAACAGCTGACCAAGAACGTTGAATCTGTGAGACATTGTAGAGCATGAGCATGAGCTCTTATCAGAGGCAGAAACCGGCGGTATACAATAAGAGATCATCATCATCATCATCATCATTTTCATCAGAATTATCATCATCATCATCACCATCACTCATAGTTATACGTGAAAATTGAAACAAACAATACATTTAATTCAGGGCGAAGGAACACTTTATAGGGATGCTTTAGGCAAACGGGAAAAATAATATTTATAAGAATCATAAATGGTGTGTAATTATTTGTTATGGTGTGTGTAGTAATACCTAATCAGTCTATTGTACTGATGTGGGGAGAGGGGGGGGGGGGCAGTCGCCCCCAACAAAACGTGGTTTATTTAATTCAATACCAGTTATTTAGAAATGTTGCTGAAATGACATGTTTTCCAGTTTTTTTTCTTCATTTTCCCAAATATGCCAGAGGCGACACTCCTGGTAGGGGGAGGGCACTGCGCCCCCACCTTCTCAGGTACCCCTAAAGTGCCCTTTTTACATAGGACATGTGCCTATTTTCTCTTCTAATAACTGTCCTTTTCCTCTTTTTTCATCTATGATGAGTACCTCTTTTCAGGTGCGAGAAATTCCCCTTTTCATCATTGATTCCTTTGCCATGTTTTACTTTGACTCGGGCCCCTTTTTCCTTTTTTAATGAGTGCACTTTTTTCTTCGTAATAAGGCCCCTTTCCCTTTCTCCTAAACACCACTTTTCACCTTTGAAATGTGCCCCTTTTTTAACACGTGCCCCTTTTCCTTTTTTATTAAGTACCATATTTCCTTTGGATAAGTGCCCCTTTTAACATCTAATAAATGCCCCTATTAAAATCTGATAGGTGCCCTTTTACTTCACAGGTTCCACATTTCCATTCTCACAAGTGCCGTTTTTTTTTTATCTCTGTCGAGTGTTCCTTTTTAGGTATACTCATCTGCATAATTTGTTATGTTGTTACATACACATGAGTTATACTCGTTGTAAATATTTTACTCCTTGCGATTATATACCTACTGTATAGTCTTCTGTGTAAAGGGGCCCCGTTCACAAGCTGTGCTTAACTGGGGTCCCAAACCTATCATTCTTGTGTTCCTTGCTGTTATATCTTGTACCATTGTTTATGTTTGATTTGGTGTGAATAAACTTGAACTTGAACTTGAACTTAAGGTGCAAGAAGTGCCATTTTCACCTCTGATAATTGCCCTCTTTCCTTTAACACGAGCCATTTATCCCTAAGTGCTTGCTTTTCCTGTCTCCATAACATGCACCCCTAACTCAAGGCGACTGTAATTTTCCTAAAATTTACTCGCTTAATACTCGTCAGTGTTCGTTTTTTGTCTTCTTTAAACGATTTAACCTTTCGCTCTAAGGCTTGCGACCTCACAAATCTTAAATGTTTGGCTCACTCGCTTGACAAATTAATATTCAGACCATCACACCCTTACTTATCTTGCTTATATGTTTCCACGTAATGAAAGAAACAAATATTGATGTCATCCCTGGTAGTGTAATCACAACCATGACGATGCCGGGGTATATACTAAGATTGTTGATATTCCCCTTTGTAGGTGCCCCTTTTTCAGAAAGTGCCCTTTTTGTTGGTGCCCCCCCCCCCTATTTTGGATGACGCACCACCACCCCTGCATTATGCTATTTGATGGTGATGCGGATTTTGTTCTGACCCCCAAAAAGGTAGTGGTAGTTCAACTATTAAAGGCATGGTAATTGTATTGGAGGGCCCTCAACAAGAACGATATTAGTACTAAAGAGGCTACCCTTGGTAAATTTTGTTGTTAGTGGTGTTGTTGCTGTTCTTGTTGTTGTTGGTGGTTTTGATTTTATTTGTTGTTATTGTTTTTTTTTCTTATGTGGAGGGTTGTTTTCACTTTTAATTGGTTAACTCTCTCTGTTTTACAACTCAAAAGCAGAGACCCTGTTCTTTGTCTTTATGTGTGTGTGTGTGTGTGTGTGTGTGTCTGTGCTATTGTGTATTAACAGGTTTCTTCTTCATCATCTTCGGCTTCCTTCTCATCTTCTTCTACTTCTTCTTCTTCTTCTTCTGATCCTTCTCCTACTCACTCCTTCAACAAAAACAAAATCTATCCGAGAAAATCTGCTCGAGGAAAGTTTATTAAAGATAAACTTTAGTACTGGTAATGCGATTGCATTGTGAAAGAAGAGGTGTGGAAAGGATCAGAAACAGTTGACCATGTAGCATGTAAGTATTGGTGTGCACTGCAAGGTTCTGGAGTCATCAAAATCATAATAAATTTGACCGAGTCTTGGTAAAGTAACAAGCACTGTACACAGAAAGCTATATATGGGACAACACACATGGTGTCGGGGCTAGTACTACCTTGATTTCCTTGTCTTTCTATGCTCTTTACCCAGCCAGTATACATTTTCTTCCAAAATTGTTTGGCACATGTCATTTATTTGTAATCTTGAACATTCAGTGTAAGTTTCGTTTGATTCTTTGAGAATTTTTTTATTTTTTTTTTACCAGAACTGGAGTTTATCTTTAACGTAACCAAAAAAGACCTTGCCCGGAAGGTGGATGCGCAACAGTGGGGCAGATGACGCAACAAATGGCCATGAGAGTCACGTGTTTACATCCGCTCTAAACAAAAGCTGTCGTGATTTCGAGGTCGATTCACAATGGTCAATACTCAATACGGCCACGAAACTAGGACAAGAATAAACGCATCATTAATTGTTATCAATAGGTCCTTTTGTTTAATGTCAATAGTAATAATTATACGATTTGTTAAAATGACAGTTAAATATCAAAACTATCAATAAACTAACGCAACTATAATATGGGTGTATTATTCTGCTGTTACGTCATTTCTTTTTTGGTGTAATTCATTCAAGGTATTTTACCGTTCAAAATGTATAAATAGGAGTTGGTTTGAGGACACTGCTAAATTTTGTTATTACTCATTGTGAAGCTGCAATTCGTGTCTCGTTTTCTCTTTCACCAGACGTTCAACAACTCAAAAGCATCGTAAGTAACATATTCGAGTATCATCATATTGAATTTTTGAATTGATTTGATCTGATTTTGATTTCATTTCATTTGACTTGACTTGACTTGACTTGACTTGACTTGACTTGACTTGAATTGCCTTGATTTGATTTGTTTCGGCTTCAATTGACTTAAATTGACTTGACTTAATTTGATTTTATATGACAATGTATGATCTCATTTGGTCTTATCTGATCAGGGCCCCGTCTTATAAAGAGTTATGATTTGATTCGAATCAATCAAAACTTGAAATTGTCTTCAACTCCTATCTTTTAAGTACAAAGTTGCGACTAATTCTAAGTTACGATTGAGTCGAATCAATCTCTTGATGACACAGGGGCCTAATCTTATATTATCTGAATAAACTTTATTTGATTTGATCTGTCTGTGTGAACTGATCATATCTCATTTGATTTGATTTTACTTTCGTAGATTTAATTTGATCTTAACTGATTTAAACTGACCATATCTGAGTTGATTTGATTTTGTTTTGGTGGATTTGATTTGATTTGATCAGATCTGATTTTATTTCGATTTGAGTGGAGTTGAGGTTTATTTCATGTAGACGTGTGGAGACATACATGATCATTTTACATACACCGTCGAATTCATAATGTCTAAATTTTAAATAAATAGATGTATGCATGAATGGTCAACTGTTAAATGGATAAACGCTTGATGGATACGTTCGATACTTTCCATAATTTTATTAAACGAATTCGTTTTCACTGGCTGCCTGTCGTAGCAGCAAACAGAGTTGACAAAAGACTTAACTCCGTTTCGTTGACGATCAGCCATGCATGCAATCTTTCGTTGTTTGTTTGTTAGGGGAGGCAGCCAGTGGAACGGATTCGTTAAATAAAATTATGGAAATGCGAACATTACTTTAAACAAACATAATTTTGTTTTTCTTGCATTGGCTTATTCTTCCTGATTTAGGTGTCATATGAAAGGTCAGAAAAAGAACCTTCTAGAAATATGATTTTCTCTTTGAAATTCAGATACCGTTCGCCAAATGCCTTTTAAGTACCTTTTCTCCAAATTGTATTTAATCACTCATGCGTGAATTATGCATCATATGAGGTGCATCAAATGAAAGAAGAAGATCTAAGCTTGACCAATATGTGTCATTTATCAATTATAACTTTGATTAAATTATGATATAACATCGATAATTCTCGCCTTTGTTTTTGCCGGGGTGCACTGTATAATTTATGATGACGCGTAATAAGCGCTTAATTAACTAATTACGCCCAAAATTAGTATGCGTGTAGCGCTTATCCAGATATGGCACAAAGTAATCCTATTGGTTGACCTACTTATCATGTTTATAATAGATCTTGATTGGTGCACTGCAAAAACAAGGGTGTTAAATTCAACACCATGGGTGTTAATTTTAACACTTTCTCGGTATCTATATCGGAAAACACCAGCTGGTGTTGTTTAACACCAGGGTTAGGAATTAAACGATTAAATTCCACCCTTGGTGTTGAAGTAGTTCCGCCTTTGGTGTTAAAATCTAACACCATTATTTCAACTTGGTGTTAAAGTTCAATTCCAGTTTTGGTGTTAAAAAATCCAACACTATTTCTTTCAACACCAGTGGTGGGTAAAATTTAATCCTGTTTTTTTTTGTGGTTAAAATCAATACCAATGATTTAACACTCAATTCAAAGAATCCTCCGATGTCTGTTGGATTTAGTGGTAACAATTTTCTTAACTTTTCTGTCTGCAGAACAAATGTTCACACTTAACGGCATGATTGCGCTGATGAAATAGGATATTCAGACCTTGACTAAAAATTCCATAACCACGATATCCCGAAGAGATTCTTGACAGCTAGCTCGCGCATGCGCATGCACGATACGACGTCATATCATATGACAACTGTCGTCCAATGATTTTGATCGAATCCACTAACTTATGCGCATGCGCAAGTTCATCACCATAACACCAAGACTCGGAACATCTACCTGTAATTAAATATTTCGACACTCTGTTGGTGTTGAACGGACGTGAACGGACGTGAAATTAACCCCAAAGGGTGTTTTTTTTCTTTCTATTCCGTGCTGGTGTTAGAAATTTAACACCCTGGTTTTTGTAGTGTGGGGTCCACAGAAAGTGGCGTTTCAAAGATTATATAGAAGCGGTCCTTCAAGAGATAATATAGGAATAAGATATTTCTCAGAATACCAACTTATGTATGGAAGATACAAGAAAGGATAAGACAAAAGTTACAACAATTTTTAGAATACCGCCCCATTAGTTCTCTTTGGAATAAATAACTTAATAATAATGTTGATGGTAACTTTGTCAATGTAATGAAGCATATGTATGATCAGGCTATTCATGTGTAATTTCTTGTTCAGAAAAGTGTTCTTTATTTGATTGTAAATTGGTGTGCGACAAGGTGAACATTTATCTCCGATGCTATTTCTTTTGAGTGACTTTAAACAACTAATTTGCGAAAAGTATGGAGGAGTAGATGTTCTACCTGACAAAATTATTGATGCAGCTGCGAATAAAAACTGCATAGATGTGTATCTCAGGCTTTGTACAGTACTGTATGCAGACGGTACGGTAGTTCTCGCACAAACTGAAAATTATTTTCAACTTGCTCTTGATACGGTATCTAATTATTGTAAGAATTGTTTCTTCAAGGCAACACAGCTACAACTAAGTTGTTGTCTTTTCTCGTGGTAAACTTCGAGAAAAAAAAAATCATTAGTAGTAGTAGTAGTAGTAGTATCATCATCAGTACAGACTACAGTATAGTAATAATGACTGCTATGAGAGACAAAGTTGTTTTCATACGCTCAAGGGGAGGTTACATGATCGTGCTATCGCCCCGAGGCGTTCCGAGGGGTAATAGCACGATCATTTAACCTCCATGAGAGCCTATAAAACAACTATGCCTCGAATATTAAAGCAGTCATTATAACTTTTATATACCAAAAAGGGTCATAGAATACATGTGCGATTTACCAATTATAGAAATCAAGTTTGTTTACGCTTTCGAGACCTAGACCCCTGTTACAGTAAGCAAAAGGCCGGGCCAGGCCGCGGACTGGCCTCGCACTGTAAACGAGGCCAAACTGGCCGCGCATTTGGCCCTGCTCTGGAGGTAGTCTCGGCCGCGGCCTGGCCCGGCATTTTCTCACTGTAAACGCACGCAGGGCCAGGCCGCGGCCTCGCCCTGTTACCCCGGAAGTAAAAGTTGGCCGTGTATAGGAAATTGGGAAAAAGATTTACTGCAAATCGCGCGCGACCGGATCTGCACTGTGACCCCCGGCGCCCCCCCCCCCCCCCCAAATAATCGTTTGTTTACATGCAGAGCGCCACTCTGACAAAATATTGAAAGGTTCCGGGCCAGGCCGCGGCCTGGCCTAGCACTGTAAATGCACACAATTGCGGGGTCCTAGTCTTAATAGGGTGTCTGATCGCGCTCCACTCGAGTTTGTGTGCTAAAGTCTTTCTAATTGAGATTGCACGCATATACGTAAAATGCCAAAACCGGTCAATAAACTTTGAAAAGTGCCGGCTTTTTTCAAAAGACTATTGACCAGTTTTGGCATTTTACGGGAATGACTAAAATCACAACTCCAATTTCGACCAATCAGATGGCTGGATTTCAAAAGTGAGGTATATATAATCATTTATATTGTTGTTGCTTATGTTATTCATTTATTCATTTGTTCATCTATTCTTCAACAGATGAACACTTTCAAGATGTCGATCATTCTCATCGTGTCTCTCTGTCTCTTGATGAGCATAGGCCAATCTGAAGCACGTAAGTAGTTTAAATTCTACTAAATGCCACGTGTCACACGGCTCACTTCAAACCATCGGTTCATCGCGTTCGTGTCGGCCGGGTGGTCGCGTTACACAACTTTTCGTGAAACATTAGACGACTTTTCGTAGATTTGCTGTAGGGTTATCACAAAGTGTCGGGTAAATTGGAACAGACCATTTGTATAAAAGAGGTGTTTTTTCACAGGCCTTACCCCCGTCATTTCGTGAATAAAGTGGCATATTTTCACAAAAGGTCGGGAAATGCAACCCCTGACCCGACGCGATGACCCGATGGTTCGAGGGAAGCCTGGTCACACAATGATGACGTTGTAAAATGTCAAAGCAGCACCATTTCACTTTTAAATGAGAATGCATAGCAACATGTTCAAATTTAGTTTGAGCTCACAGCGATTCTGAGTCGGAAGGTTTGAAATCACCTGAAATTTAGATCTTATTATTCTACAACTATTCAGGCCTAGTTTGATGGCTACAATTCAACCCCTTTTTATTCTTATATGTATATATATATATATATATACAACAAAAAACTTTATTCACAAGGCACAAGAATGTTTTGTCCTTCAATTGCTACTTCTTCAAAAATCATATCGCCGTCGAATCGTGTAGTGTGCCCTAATAAAAATACTACGCGTAAGACCTTTGTTGTGCATTTTATTAATTCGTTCAATAAAGAAATAATGAATATGTATATATATATATATATATATATATATATACATATATATATATACATATATAAACCAAGGTATAATTATGTGAAAAAACCTAGTAGGGTTATAGTAGTAAACTCGGCAATTTGTTTTTCATAATCGTTCAATACGTTATGTTTTAGAAGAAAAAGAAACACTTACCACTCATGCTTATTTACATGAATAAGCGAAGCCATGTATTATTTAATTTTCACACATACATTACCCGTGGACAAACAGAAGATCCCTGACTTATGTTGTATCATTATTTCACTTTTCCTCAGAGTCGTCCTCAGATGAGTCTGACAGCGCGTCCTCTTTAGCAGAGTCTGACAGCGCGTCCTCATCAGCAGAGTCTGACAGCGCGTCCTCATCAGCAGAGTCTGCTTCCTCAGCAGAATCTGCAGACAGCTCAGGCTCGGCAGCTCGCAGGAAGCGATCTGAATCAGACTTGGCAGGTCGCTAGAAGCGATCTAGTTCAGAGGAGGAGTCTGATGGCGCTCCCTCAGCAGAATCTGCTTCTTCCAATGAGAGTAGATAGACCAAGTCCGGCCACGGACGTTCTCTGGCGACGTTTAAGCGATGATTTATGATTCAAATTCAACAGATTAAAAATAGATGTTAACAACTCTTTGTTGGTCACTCTCATAATATCCATGTTCTATACTTTAAATCTGGACGTTCCTCTTTCGTTCCCTAGATTAATTTTACTATTTCAAGTGAGAAAAACACATATATGTCATAAAGGAGTTGGTCTTGTAATCAATTAAGGCTGGAAATGGGTCATTATGCAAGGCTTTTGTATGTAGTTCAGATCATATTTTTTTCCCAATTAGCACTCGAGGCAAACATGTGAGTGTGGCACTGGGTGAATTTTATGGGGGCAGCTTAAGAGTTAATCAGCGCTCCTGGCAGGTGAAATATTATTCAAAACGATTATTTACATAATTCTATTTATATGTAGACAGATATCACCAATAATTTCATTGTAAAATTATTTTATTATTCAAATTAAACAATTAAAAGGCAGTGCCTTTTTTACATGCTAACAATTAATCTTTCTTACACAAATGATTACAGTGCAGAATCTTGTGTGTGTTTTTCATTCTTGATAGATTTCTCTTTAAATATAATCTAAATGTAGATATTACACGATCGACTGCATTCCGAATCAAATCATATTCGGTTTAAGTGTTTTATTTTTCTTATGTAAGCACAGACATTTGAAATTAATAGTGTTTCAGAATGTTTTCTGCTTTACCTCTTCTTTCCCCTTTTTACTTTTTAAAAAAATACTTTTTTTTAAATTTTAAATTCCCTTCTTTATAATGTAATCGTCATTATTATAATTATTATTTCCACCATTGATCTGTTTTAATGTTTTCTGCATCTAGAATACAAAACAAATTTGTGAATCATAATCTTGATTAAATCGAAGCTCAAAACCACTTTTTCATTTCCTCAGTGTATCTTTGTTTGTATTTCATTTGAATTAATTGCTGCATTTCGACAACGGCAAAGCCTTTATTTGCGCTCCGTATGCTATACGCTCTGACTGCGATCTGGTTTTGGGAAAATTTACAATCGCATTTGATATGAACAATCAAAAATCTAAATGACAGACGTTCTGAATAATCATATGATTAATAGATTTTAAATTTCGAAAGGAGGAATAGCTAGAAGTGCGATGATGTGAAGCCGATTAAAAAACAATTATAACTGGAAATGTTAAAGTTAAACGCACCAAAGGCAATGTTGCTATAATTCTTTTCATTATTTAGAATTTAAATCGGGAGATAATATTTGTTTTGATTTGTTAATCTAATATAATCGCCATTTATTTGTAAAATTAGATCGCAGTATTATCGTATAGTGCGATAGACTATGTACTACATTTGCATTATAGATAGATATATAGAAATGGATTTTATTAAAAATATCATCGCAGCCAATAGCTGAATCGCGATCCATTTCACAAGGATATATACAATACAATTGCAATTCAAATTGAAATAACACAAAATATGAATAAAAATATAGATATTTCATAAAAATTCATTGATCAAATTCAAATTTTTGTTAAAAAAAGGAAGAGATAGGGAGAGGTGTAGAAGAGGGAGAGTTGGAGTGATGACAGAGAGAGAAAAAGAGAAAAAGAGAAAGAACGAGAGAGAAGGGGGACGAAAGAGAGACGGAAAGAGAGATAGAGAGAGAGAGGGGGAGAGACACAGAGAGAGAGAGGGAGTGAGTTGAAGAGGGGAAGATACAGTCAAAAGGTACCTTATCATTACAGATGAGGGGAGATGGCAAGAAATATTCAGCAATGCAGAAAATTGAGATAAAAACTATCATTTACATAGTTCAATCATGGACTGTGAAATTCTAAAAATACAGTTTATATCGGTATTACATTTTATTCAGAAGATTTATAAAGTAAGGAAGAGAGCTGCACTGGAAGCGTTTTGTTTTACATTGGTATCGTTCAAACTTTGATTGAGATCTTAGAGAATAAGTGCTTTGTTGTCTAAGAAGTAAACATTCTTTAAATAAGGGAGTTTACAGATACAATCTGCGCATGGGCAGATAAAGGTCATTTGTACCAAAAAGGTAAAACCCACCGGAGATGAATACTTGATATGCGCTCATGAAAGTTATGTATTATTCATTTATGCACCAACGGTACATTCTAAGATACGCAGGTGGAAGTTTTCTTTTCAAGAGGGCAAACAAAAGGTATTCATGAAGCACATCTTGGACTTTGGCAGTTATTATTTGAAGATGCTCAAAGTGGAACTTCTCCATGTGTAAAAGATCTGTGGATATTTGGGGTCATTTGTACCATGTGCTATCTGTAAACTCCCTTATTGTGGGTGTTTGGCAAGAGCATTGGCAAAGTCCATACATAACTGCTCACGTCTTGCTTTTAATGAACGTAGATTGCACGTTTCCAATACTGCTTCATACTGACGTCCTAAAATGATTTTGCAAGCTCTTTTCTGCATACGTTTTAAAGTATATACATGAGTTTTTGTTAAATTAACATTGAAAACCGGTACCCCATAATCTAAAATCGAACGAATGTATCCTTTATATATAAGTAAAGGGTCATCTACAGGCAATCCATACTTCTTAAGGCAACGAAACATAAACAACTTCCTATTACACCTTTTTGTGAGATTGGATACATGACTATCCCACTTTAGGTTTGATTGTAAAATTATTCCGAGGACTTTGGCTTAATGAACATAAATTAATTCTTTGTCACCAATGGAAATTGAAGTTTGTTCTACACAATTTTTCATAAATGTTATAACCATAGAGAAACACTTGGACGGATTCAATGTCATATTTTTTTTAGCTGACCATTGGTATAGATCAGTGACTGCATTTTGTAGTTTAGACTGAGATGTTACTTTTCGGCTTTCTACAATCGTTAAGTCGTCAACATATTTATTATGTATAACCCTACAAGTTGTATTATATACATTAACAGGACATCATAAAAACTGGTATATTACCCTTAACCTTAAATTCAAAACAATATAACTAATTAAACTAATGACAAATGATTGAACCTATTGTTTCTGGGGAGGCCTTTAAGTTTCCTCTGCCTGTAAACGTACGTAGAGGGCAGTAATTATATTGTTCAATCTTCAACAAGACAAGAAAATGTCCTGCTAATGACAATGTCTACTTAATGACTTATTTTTTCACTACAAATGTCCGTCTAATGACGCTGTAAGATCAACAAGATATAAACAGCTAGACAGTGCATTAATATGATACGTTCGCAAATATACTTTGATAAGAAATTTATTTTTCTTCACATGAAGATTTGGCACAATACACGCTATTGCCCATGAAAATGGAAAATAACTTGTTCATCTTTCCTAAATGAGAATATCATAATGATAAGGTTTATATATCACAATGTTTATCTAAAGAGTCGGAGACATTGATTGCTCAGCTACTGAGAAGATACGATCCATAAGTTATCCATAATAAACGATATTATCACAATTATTTCATGAAAAGATGTAAAACAAATAAATGAGTCCAAATTTATGGGAACAGTGTAGTTTGGTAAAATCTTACAAACTTAAGAGACAGACTAAACGTAGTTGAGTATGCATTATAAAACTATTATTACGTGGCTGAAGAAACATTGGGTGAATAGTAAACAAAAATGAAAGTCACGTGATATGCCTTCAGCCACTCAAGTGACTAGAAACTGATTCTAGGTTCCACCACGATATATTTGCATAACACAGTGTTCTTTACCAAAATGAAGGCTGAAACTAAGATCAAAGATTAAAGTTTTTGTGTTTTGTTTGTTTGTTTGTTTTTTCTTCAGTTGGTGGTACAGGAAATACAAATATATTCAAACTAGCTGAGCTCAAGGAGAGCGCTAGAGAAGATACGTGTAAACACCATTACGCCTCTCAGCAGACGATTCCAAGATCATTTTCTCAAGCACAGCTAGTCGTAGTCCATAATCTGGACTGTTTGATTTCAATCTCCACCACACCAACGCAATATGCGACCTCCCCCTTGCTGTCAGCCGAAGATGGCGTGATCATTACATTAGGACGGGCTTGTGAGCGTATTGATAACGCCATCTTCGGCGGCTTGAACCGGCAATATTCTGGACTAGGCTAGTCCACGCACCCAACGCCCTAAGCCGCGCGACGGGGCGAACGAACAGCACCGAATAAGGGAGTTTACAGATAGCACATGGTACAAATGACCCCAAATATCCACAGATCTTTTACACATGGAGAAGTTCCACTTTGAGCATCTTAGAATAATAACTGCCAAAGTCCTAGATGTGCTTCATGAATACCTTTTGTTTGCCCCCTTGAAAAGAATACTTCCACCTGCGTATCTTAGAATGTACCGTTGGTCCATGAATGAATAATGTTACATAACTTTCATGAGCGCATATCCAGTATTCATCTCTGGTGGGTTTTACCTTTTTGGTACAAATGACCTTTATCTGCCCATGCGCAGATTGTATCTGTAAACTCCCTTATACATGCGGATGGTGAGGGTGAAGCCGACCCCCAATCATCAAGCTCCCCTTACTTTTGATTGACATTAATTTAGAGGGAGGGGGGGGGGGGGGACACCCTTCGATACGCCGCTGCTAGTAAAAAGAGATAGATTTGCATGTGAATGCATTCACTTGTTTATTCACGGAGCCGCAATAATAGTCCCCTTATGTGGGAGGGAACTGATTGGGGCATGCGTACATGAGCTTGACCTATGAACAAGCGAGCGTGCGCGGGTCACAACTACCACACCACAACTAGCTATGGTGTTGAGCCCCTTTCGCTCTCACGGCAACACACACGCATATTTTGTTATGTAAACATATCTTTATGAACCCTCATTTCAAATCACCTTATTGTGAGTTCATCGTAGTACTGGTCATGGCGTACAATATATGTGGGCGGATAATTCTACGTTTCAAAACTCGATAATTTTCAGTACTCTTACTTTTTTTGGCTTCCATTCATTGAAACGTTAATTATAACCTTTTATGACCTGGTATGAAAACACGTATGAATAAAGAGTGGCCTTCTGGGGATATTGACTGACTCGCAGGCCCAGGTTTACAGTCTTATAAACCAGCTCGCTGATCTCACATTCGTAATCATATTGTCCAGAAACCTCGCCAGTCTTCTCATTCTATAACATATCCCAAGTTGGCCACCCAATATTCAAATGTACATCTTCTTTTTTTAATCTTCATATATCAAATTGAAATCCAAATACTTCATACATCTGTGAACCTTGATTTACACCCCCTCTTTCTTTTTTCCATCTTTTTTTTTCTCTCTCTTTCCCCCTTTGACCAATATTTGTCCTCCATATTGTATTATTATGTATCCATTGAGGGTAGTCATGTTATCAAGCTTTGCTTACCTTGTCAACCCTCCTGTTTGATGTTTTCGATTAGTTACAGCAAGTCTTACCTTATTCTGCATATATTCTTTTGACATGTGTAAAATGTGCAATGTTTTGTTTGTTACATATTTGTAAAACTGCAAACGAAAAAGAAAATCAAACAGAAATAAATCAATCAAATCAAACCAAATCAAATTGTCGTCAGTTGTAGAAGCGTGCACATTTCTCTCTTAATACCAGACCCAAGTACTGTCTCGTTGCCAATATCGGCCTGAAATTAAAGCCGATCTTAATCAAAAAATTAAGAAACTATTCTAAAAGAAAGGAGGACAACCATAGAAATAGATTTGTTCACGTTTGAAAGAAATCGGACAAAATAAGAAGGTTATATATTTTAAAAGTTGTAATCAATATTCGTATGGGAACATCACGTTGGCTGAATCAGTCATGTCATGCATGTGAAGCAGTGCATTACAATCTTCCCATTTGTTCCAAGACACATAGTTATTAAAACTCTAATTTCAATATATGTGACTAA